TTGGAGTTGCTGATGTGATCTTAGGAATCAGAATTCACAAGACTCCACAAGGTCTAGCATTATCACAGTTTTACTACATTGAAAAGGTACTTGACAAGTTCAAGTATTTGGATTTCAAAATTGCCAAGACTCCAATTGACGTGAGTTATGCACTTCAAAAGAATGAAGGTGAAAGTGACTCACAACTGGACTATGCAAGAATATTGGGAAGTTTGATGTATATCATGAATTGTACACAACCAGATATAGCATGTGTTATTAGTAAACTGAGTTGGTTTACAAGTAATCCCAGTCAAATACATTGGATGACAATGAAACGAGTTTTGGGATATCTGAAACATACCCAAAATTATGCTTTGCATTATAACACATATCCTTCCGTGATCGAGGGATATAGTGATGCAAATTGGATCACCGGATCATCTGAAGTTAAATCCACGAGTGGATATGTTTTCACAATTGGGGTGGAGCAGTGTCTTGGAAATCATCCAAACAAACGTGCATCGCCCGTTCTACAATAGAATCTGAATTCATAGCTTTAGATAAGGCCGGTGAAGAAGCTGAATGGCTCCGGAATTTTTTGGAAGATATTCCATTTTGGCCCAAACCTTTAAAATCTCATCATATTAGACGGAGACACAATACTGTTAGACAACTACTCTCTAGTGGTGTTATCACAGTTGACTACGTAAAGTCAAGAGATAACATGGCGGATCCACTTACAAAAAGCCTATCCAGAGAGGCAGTTGAAAGATCATCAAAGGGAATGTGATTAAAGGCCTAGGACAAGTCATCATGGAGGTAACTCTACCTAGTAGACTGGAGATCACAAGAGCTAGGTTCAAAGAGATCAAATAAAGTTATGAATGACGTTCAACATTGTCAACTAACTCAACCCATTCTCGTGATGAAGACAATGTTCAAAAATGAGGTAAAGCATTAAGGCTTTTTGATGAGTCAATAAATCTTAAAGTTTTTTAGTGATTTGCTAAGTCTGGCAGGATATGACCAGATAATGTGTCTTTAGGATTACACGTTTAGGAATACCTATGTGAGTGTGAAGTGTAAGCCGCTTCAAGGAGAATGAAAGTAAAGGCCCATTCTCTAAGCACTCATGAAACCAGGCGGTGTTCATAGCTGAAACGAACACAATTGTGAGAACCATAGATGTTTAAGGATTGATTGTGTGACTTATGTTGTTTAGCTATACAACAAAGCTCGACGGTTCAAAAATATCAAATCTACCGATTGACCGAGTATATCCGATATAAGTTCACTACGGAAAGTTTAAAGGGAAACCTACTCATCGTTCGTGCATTCCTTTAAGTTTATAGCCATTCCCCATTCATGTGGGGGATTATTGGGTTTTGTTATTATTTATTAATAACAAAAGAGGTGTGAATGAAAAATGGTGGAAAAAGAAATGAAGGGAAGTGAAATTTTGAATGAGTTCATTTTACTAATGCACTTTGTCCCTCATTTGTAGAAGGAAAGAAAATCTTTGTGTATATATAGAGAAGCTCAACTTTCAGCTCTTAAAGAGCTAAGAAGAAGGCAAGCCTCGAGCCGTCATCGTTGCTCGCTCGCTCGGCTCGGCTTCGGCTTCGGATTCAGATTTGGATTTGGTCAAAGATTGATTGATTAATCTTTTTGGACAAAATTCTTTTCAAATATTTAATTAATTAATTAAATTAATTTACGAAAATTCAATCCGAAATAATCCATGACTCGCGACCCGGTCTGGTTCGGCCCATTTTCTTTCTCGGATTATTTTAAATCCGTTTTAATTTTCCCACAATATTTCCAACAGCTATGGCTGTTCTGAAACAGTGTCAAACCTGTTCCAACAGCTATGACTGTTCTGAAAGGTTGCAAACCTTTTCAGAAACAGTACTAATTTGGTTATAAATATTCCTTCAAATCCTAGAATATTTACTTACGAAATTTTTTGATAATCTTCTTCTTCTTTTGCACAAAAATTCCAGTGTGTTTTACAGCCTTCGAGTGGTTGGCTGTTCATCTGCATTTTTGGTACCAATACGTTGGTGAGTTAAATCGTTCTATACTGGGAGGATATATTCCAGAACCTCGGTACTTGAGGGAAATAATTTTCTTAAGGACACACTGTGTATTCAGTGGGCTCGATTTGTTACTATACTGTTTTTCAGAATTTATTTTGAAATTTCTATACTGTTTCTAAAATATATTTTGACGTTCTAGTTCTACTAACTTTCTGTTTCTGTTTTTCAGAAAGTTTATTATTTTATTTTATAGCAATACAGATTTTAATAACATAAAGAAATTAAAAATGAATGTATTAACAATGAATCTATGATATAGTCGTTAAACCCACTTTCAATCGAAAACAAATGGATTTGCTTTATTAAAGGCTTCCCACTATCTAGATATTTTTATTCACTTGGCTTTTTCCTTGAAAAGCATTTGGAGTTGAATGGACGAGAATAATAGAATTAAGTATAACAACTTGACTTTGTTAAGCACTAATTAAAATTCTTATACTACAACTTGATATTTGGTTATTGACTATTTGATGTTTATACGCTGAATGAGGCTTATTGGTGTTCATGTATTAAACATATAGCGCTGGATCAAATACTCATCCCAACGTGCATGGTCTTAAATATTCGTGCGATAGAAAAAAAAATTGGGAAAAATGTACAACAACAATGTCTCAATATCAAATCCTAAAAATAATGTACAAACTATCAAGAAACCTTTACCCCTTTGAAGATCATATTTATAAATTTTCATGCTCCTATAGATAAATGTCCATTTTACATAATTTATTCTCTTGTAAATGAGTTTCGGTGAGATCGTAATGGCAAGGGAAGGATGAGGCAATATGCTAACAGTAAAACTATGAATGATTGTAATAAAATTAAGCAACTTTGTATAATATAATGTATAGAGTAAAATCGGTTCACATTAAATACTCGCATAATAGAGCGACACGTGGTACCAGAGATAGACGAAAAGTGAGACAGGTGGGAATCACGGTCGCGGTAGCAGCTTCGGTTGGCACCGGAGAGCCCCTAAGAGAATATTGCTAATGAAAGCAAACGACTGCCTACCAGACCGTATCATTCAATGAATAATATTCTGCAATATTAAATACACAGTCTATTACAAAGAATTATGGCATTCATAGCCTGCCGTTACACATTCTTTAATGGGTCCCACAATTATCATTTAAGAGAGGCTTGATCCTAGGATCTTGTTCCCGACGTGCAACTATAAATAGTGATTTCAACTGCCATTATAGTAGGGGAATTTTCTAACAAACTTATGCTATATACCGTTCAAAAGCTCAATAATATTCCATTTCTTGCTTTTTAATATTGCTATTACTGCCTTCGGAAGCCCTGCTCACGGAATCAGGCTATTCACTGTGTTATCTCGATTTCAATACTAAGTCTTGCATTTTTATTTAATTTGTTTATCATTTTGGGATCAAGTCGATTCGCTTGTCTATAAACCACGTATAAATTCAACTGCATTGTTTTACGGGTAAATAATAAGGTTTCTTTTCCCATCCAAAAGATAAAAGGAATATTATATTTCTTCACTACAAGGTTAAGGGAATAAAGTAAAATTTACTTTAAATCTAAATTTTAACCAATCCTATGCTATAACAAGCTTTTATCATTTCACAACCAAGAATGGCAATAACTCATTACACTCATTGTCTATTTACTCCTTACAAATTTGGTATTTGGATTAAAGATTAAAAGCATATGTACCCATGTGGACTTCTTTGTCATTCATAGCTCACGGCTTAACTTTTTCCCCAGTAAGAATCACCTAAAATGTTATATGTGCTCTTTTTTCGAAAACCTACTAACCTTGACTAATACTTTGTCTTGAGCGCGCGCATACATACTTTCTTAGGAATTATAGTGTCTTCGGTGAGGTTTGTCGACCCAACATCATATTAAGCGAGTTAGCTATAGTATAATATCCCTATCCGTTACATCCTAAAGCTCAAGGCACATATTATCTATTTTGCCGGGAGCATACCTCATGGATTGTTCCTTGCGTTATGCCACATTAAGCCTAAAAATGTGCTTACCATTTATCTCAAGATTTTAGCCTTCCTTATCTTTTCAATGTAAGATTTGTTCAATGTGTAATTGTCACATGAGCCCTTGTCCAATAAGCTGCATGTCAATCTTTTACCTGACTTCATCATCTCCTCCATCGTGGACGTAACATATTAAATGCTAAACAATAATTGATATAATAAAAGAAATAGTTTTCACCCTAGCACAATTATTTTGTCTTCCAATTGTGTTGAAAAAGTCATAAAATTTATATGTTTACATAATAATTATTCAATGAAGTGAGTTCGTGTTTGGTCACAATTATGTGACTCAATCTTGATGATCTAATTAATTTATCTTTTACAAATAATCCTGTTCTAATTCCATAGTAAGTGAGTTATGTTAAGACTCAGTCTTAGTAATAACAAGCAAGTTATGTTAAGATCATGTATGATGGGTAATTTAATATGAAGTTCACTTCTTCACTCTTACATTGAAGGTTAACTTTCCACGTTAAAAAAAAAAGGAGAAAAATATTTTCTTCCTTTTTATGTGTTTCTATCTACAAATATAGCAACTTGACAATATGAGGAAAAATACCAGTTGGGGCATAGCCTTCCTTTTCTTACCAAACTAACCACAACTAACCTAATCTCATAGTTAACTTAACTAACCCTACAAAAGTATTTGATGGTTACCAAATTTTATTGATTTGAGGTATTCCTTGCCTTTGGGTTAAACAAAATGAATATTATTTTCAATATTAAAATTGAAGGAACATTGAACATAGCATGTCAAGATCATATTGTAGATTTGGTTCAATGCATCTGAACGGGATACCTTTTCTTTTCTCTTTCCTAATAATACAAAAAAATAAAAATAAAAACTTTAGCCCCACCTTACACAAGAAAAGATAGATATACATAAACAACACCACACACACAAAGTTCAATTCAGACTCATACTTTTGTACCTCATCCACCCACTTTTCTATTCTCTCTCTTTTTGCCCTATTCAATAGGGTTTCCATATGACTTCTTGTTAGCCAATTTTCTGATGCAATCAGTTGTTCAAGCTCTATTGATCGTATTTCTATTTGTTGGTCTGTCAATTTTTGCTCTCAAAAGAGGGTTTTTTGGGCTTGGGCTGTGCAGATTCTACCTCCCTTGTGTTTTTCAGCAGTACTCATGTCTAAAGTCTTCAATTTTAGTGGTATGTTCTTGATCCTTTTCTGGGTTTTGCTTAAAAATTCAATCTTTATGTTAATTAGTATTGTTTTTCTCTTAAAGATCATGTGTTGATGTTAATTTGTGTAACTTCTACTGGAGTTTCTATATTTAGGTTCGTCCTTTCCTTAAAGTTCATATCTTGATTATTTAAGATTTTTCCCTTTATAAAACCAGTTGATTTTAATTCTAAGTTATTCAATTTTGCTGCTTGTTTATAATTGCTTAGTTCATCATTTTTTTGTGATTGTTAAAGTAGGTAATGAAAAGGTTTACATCATTTCTTGATTTCTTTTTCATTTTACTTTAGATCTGTTTTTACTTTTGAATCCTTAAGCAAAACCTATCGTGGAAAGATAGCTTGTTATTTTGTGCTATATGACTTGGGGATAACAAGATCTGTCGGTAAACAAAGGTTGAGCGTAAATTAGAGCTTATGAATCCCTGTCTCTATATGTGAATTAGTTGTGCTGTTGAGATTTTTCTATGTTTAGCTTAAGTGTGATTGCCACTTGGTGTAGCTATTAGAGATATATTTTAATCTCCTTTTTTCTTACTCATGCAAAAGTCTATGGAGTATAGTAGGAACAATAATTTTGTGTTTATATTTTGTATAAAATTTATGTGCTATAAGTATTCAAGTTCACAAACTAGTCATTAGTGATTTGGCTTTAAGAGAAAAGTCAAGTGATTAGGAAACTGATACCATATGGATTTATCCTTACATACCTCTTAAAAAAATGAGTAGTATGGCAGAGGAAAGTATAATGTGATTCTGTGATAGATGTTCTTGATCTGAATCTGAACAGACAGAGTGTGAAGTGGGTTTCACCTTTCTCAAGATTTGTTTAATCTCTATTCTGATCTTTGGCTGATGTTCTTTACTATCTTCTGGATTTCAGGAGATGATGCTTTTTGCCCTGGTGGGGCTCTATACCCAAGTCCCAAGGAATCCAGCCTATTTCTTTCCCTTGGGCATCATGTGGATGTCTATTTTCCTCCTTGCAAGAGGTCTCGCGTCACTGCCCCTATCATTTTCACTGAAAAGCAGAAGAAGTTGCCTTCCATCGATGTCCTACCTGATGAATGCCTTTTTGAGGTACTCAGACGTGTTTCCGATGGCAAAGAGAGGAGTGCCTGTGCTTGTGTTTCCAAGCGCTGGCTTATGCTTTTAAGCAGCATCCGTGGGTATGAAACAGTTGTCTCAAAGCCCAGTCCATCCTCAGAGACTGAGGAAAGATCTATCCAAAGCGCCCCTGTTAAGCCCGTGGACTCTATTAAGAAGGGTGAGGTTGTGGACCCTAATGGTGTAGAAGTTGCTGACATTGAAACTCAAGATATTGAAGGAGAGGGTCATCTTTCGAGGTGCCTTGATGGAAAGAAAGCAACAGATGTCAGACTTGCTGCTATTGCTGTTGGAACTGCAACCCATGGAGGGTTAGGGAAGCTTTCTATTCGAGGAAGCAACCCAAGCCGTGGTGTGACTGATACTGGCCTCAAGGCTATTGCTCGAGGTTGCCCTTCTCTCAGGGCTCTTTCTCTGTGGAATGTATCTTCTGTTAGTGATGAAGGTTTATCCGAGATTGCTCAGGGGTGTCATCTGTTAGAGAAGCTTGATCTTTGTCAATGCCCTGCAATTACTGATACGTCTTTGGTGGCTATTGCAAAGAGTTGTCCTAATCTGACGTCTCTAACGATAGAATCTTGTGCAAACATTGGGAATGAAAGTCTTCAAGCTGTCGGTCGTTTTTGCCCCAAGTTGAAGTTTGTCTCTCTCAAAAACTGCCCACTCATCGGGGATCAAGGAATTGCAAGTCTCTTTTCATCAGCTGGTCATGTTTTGACCAAGGTGAAACTTCACGCATTGAACATCAGTGACGTCTCCCTTGCTGTTATTGGACATTATGGCATTGCAGTGACTGACATAGCTCTTATTGGTCTTCAAAGCATAAACGAAAGAGGCTTCTGGGTCATGGGCAACGGCCAAGGTTTGCAGAAACTGAGGTCCCTCGCAATAACTGCTTGCAGTGGAGTTACTGATTTGGGGCTTGAAGCTCTTGGTAAAGGTTGTCCAAACCTGAAGCTGTTTTGCCTCCGAAAATGTGCTTTCCTGTCAGATAATGGATTGGTTGCTTTTGCCAAAGGTTCAGCCTCTCTTGAGAACCTCCAATTAGAGGAATGCCACAGGATCACCCAGGCTGGGCTTTTTGGTGTACTTTTGAGCTGTGGTAAGAAGTTGAAGGCTCTTTCCCTGGTGAACTGCTTTGGTGTTAAGGAGTTGGCCTGTCGATTCCCTTCTGTGCTTCCTTGCAACTCACTGCAGTCTTTGTCTATTCGCAACTTTCCTGGAGTTGGTAATGCTACCCTGGCTGTAGCGGGTAGGCTGTGCCCCAAGCTGACTCATCTGGAGCTGAGTGGCCTTGTTGGAATAACTGATGAGGGTCTTTTCCCTCTTGTGCAAAGCTGTGAAGCTGGTTTGGTCAAGGTGAATCTGAGTGGATGTGTTAATGTTACAGACAAATCAGTTTCAGCCATAACTGAGTTGCATGGGGGAAGTCTCGAGTTTCTGAATGTTGATGGTTGTAAATACGTTACTGATGCAACCTTGGTAGCAATTTCCAACAACTGCTGGTTGCTCAGTGAACTTGATCTTTCAAAGTGCGGAATCACTGATTCAGGCATAGCATCATTGGCCGGTGCTGTGCAGCTCAACTTGCAGATCCTCTCACTGTCCGGTTGCTCTATGCTGTCGAACAAAAGCTTACCCTTCCTGCAGAAGTTGGGTCAGACACTTATGGGCTTGAACATTCAGCACTGCAATGGAATCAGTAGCAGTGCTGTTGATCTGCTCTTAGAACAACTCTGGAGGTGTGATATCCTTGCTTAAGCAGAGATCCGTGCAGCTTACAAATTTGTTGCCATTGAAGATGGGGCCCCCCCGTAGCTAAGAAGTTTAACTAGTCAAGTAAAGTTTCCGTTGGTAGCGTTAGCATGGAGTTTTTTTTGGTCCATGATGTTGGGTCTTCTAATGGTCCAGTATCTCAGCTCACTTTTTCCAGAGATATGGCTGGTCCTCTTTTTTGCAGCTTCCACACTGAAGCTGTTTCTGGTTCTTCCAGCCATTCTTCTCCGAGATTACAGAATGCTGAGTTTTTGGATTAAGAGATTCAAGTCTGGTCCTACTTCTTGTTGCCACTAGTTTTTAGCTTCTATCCTTTCATTGATCATCAAATCTTGCAAGGGTGAAGCTTTTCCATGTTGTCTTAGTCTTTTATGTGTGTGCACTTGTAGTTTTACCGAGTCTTATACGTTGTTGAACCTTCGTGTTCAGCACGTGATGGTTGGGTTGAGATTGTCTCTTGTTGTTCTGGTTGTTTGGGCAGTTCTAGGTTTAATGCCTCGCTCTCGTGGGCTTTGGCCATGGCAGCAGTTTCTTTTCTGCCATGACAACCCTCTGGGGTTGTTTTTTTAATTTTAGCCAAGTCCTAGTTTTGCAGGCCCCTCTTGTCATGAACTTCCCATGCAACCTCTGTTGTTACTTATGGAGTAGTTTGTATTTATGCCTTTTATTAAATAAAAAAAATAAAAAAAAGAAAAAAAAGTTAGGTTGTATATTGCTGTGTTTGATCTCTAGAAATTGGCTTCTTGCTTCTGTTTAACTAAGTTTCTTTGGCCTTGAATCCAATGAAAAAGCACATTGAGATGATACAATTGAACTTGCCTCCTTGATTTGCTTTGGCTCAGTAGAATCTCTCTTATATACTTGTGTCCTTTCCTTCACCATGGGCTCTTTAGGATTGAAGAAAATATGCCTTGTTTTATTTGTCGAAAGAGAAAAAGGAAAAGTAAAAAGAGACGTCCTTGTGTGATACAAATTGGTTTCTTGGCTCTAGCATCTAAGAGCACTATGATGTGATAGACCATATTCAAATCTATGCAGAGATTGATATTTTTTTCCATCCAAGTTTAGTGAGAAGTAATACACAATTGGGTAGTGTATTTTCACAAGTAGGATCCGGAGAAGATAATACGTACGACATAAGATGTGGTGCTTGTGGGTATGGGCGGACTTAAGGGCGGAAGGATGTTCATTCCCTTAATACAGTCGAAAAACATAGCTTAGTGGTCAAGAGGATTGAAAATCTTTGTAAGGTCACTAGTTCAATTCACACTTGTCACAACCTCTTTCAATTTTATAGAGAATAAAGATTATACCCAATGTAATTTTACAACAACCTCTTTCAATTTTATAGAGAGTAAAGATTATACCCAATGGAAAAAATAATATGTACGCAGAAGACGTGGTGCTGCTTGCCGGGGTGTGTGCCACGACGAAACAAGGAAATAAAGGCCATTATACGTTGGGTGGATGTACGCGTACGCAGTTAACCACCGTCTTCATTTGGCAAAAGAAATTGTTTTTTTGGCTCTACGTCACTGTATCTTTGGCCATAGAGTCCAATGAATATGCACATAGAGATGATTGAATTGACCTTTGCCTCCTAGATATGTGTTAGGGTCAATTGAGGGTTTCCTTATGTATTTGTCCTTTTCTTCAGTCTTTAGGATATATTAAGGAGTCACTGTATGAATACTCAAATTGGATAATGGAAAGCAGCCCTATATCTCTTTATTACTTTGTATTTTTCCTCCTTGGTAAGAAAGAAGCTTCATCAATCAAGTGTCTTGCCTAACTATTTCTGGAAATTGAGGACTTAAAAACACATTTAAATGATGGCACATGCACACTTATTTTGACCGTTGAGTTTAAAGGCAAAATAAGCAAATATTAGCAAGGAAACATTTAAGGTGGCGTTGTGGAGGTCGATAATTAGGATGAAATGTTAGGTAATCGAGTGTGTTTCATATCCTTACCAGTAGTATTAATGTTAGTTTCATATTTTCTATTCTTTTGTGTTATAAGATTATTTGTTATTTCTTTTGCTTCGATTTCTTGTTGGATTGCTATGTTCCTGTTTGTTGCTATGACTCCTTTTCATTCTTTCTTGAGTCGAGGATCTATCAGAAAAACTTTTTTATCTTCTTAAAGTAGGAGTAAGGTCCGCGTACACACTACCCTCCCCACATCCCACCACGCAGGATTGAACTGGATTTGTTGTTGTTGTTGTTGTTTGTTAAGGTCAGGGGCGAAGCTAGGTTGGCCCAAAGGGGGTCAACTGAACACCCTTCGTCGAAAAATTATACTATGTATAAGGTACAATATTACTTGTTATTATTGATCAAAAAATAGGTTTTAAATACCCTTGCATAGCCCGGTGACAAAGAGTGTTCAAAATTGAACGCCCTTATTGAATTTCCTGGCTTCGCCACCGGTTAAGACGGCGTTGCTTAAAAATTTTCAAAACAGTTTCAACCATAATAATATCGGTTTTTTTTTTAGTTAAACACCAAGAAAAAAGAGTTATTCGGTTTTGTCAATGAATTATTTTTTTTCCAAAACAAGTTTTTGAGACGAAATGCGACTTTAGAGACTAGTCAAATGTTGCCTAAGCTGCTAAGCAACATCTATATAAACAAGTTTTAATAAAAAGGTTTCTTGGAGTAAAACGGGTGTGCTACTACAATAAGTTACTAATATTACTTTCTGATCTGTTTTCTATAGCACTATTATTATCATCTGGCGTGAAACAGTTTTCTTTCTGTGTTTCTTTTTAAAATAGGCAACCTTGGTTTGAAAGATAAAATTCGTACTTCCTTTAAATATTCCTTCTTTTTTTTAAAAATAATATATTTTCTTCTTAAGAAATTGCTTTATTGGAGAAAGGAAAACATTGAAAAGAGACAAGACATGGCCCAAGTATCTTTTTGCCAAACATTCAGTGATATGCTTCTAGTTCAATGTTAGTCAAGTAGTTGGAGAAAGTACTCAATTATTGGTGAGATATAAATGCTTCCGTAATAAAATTCAGTTTTGAGTTTCCAATTTTTCTAATCTTTTTTTTTCCTGATTGAATGGGGTTAATTAATCACTACTTATTTCTGTAATCAAAAACCAAATATGTACCTATACATATTTAAAGATTATCTTGAGATTCGACGAGATATTGGTTCGTCTTCGACGAGAAAAAAGTATTCAAAAGTTAAGAATTTTGACATCTTCACAAGATTTCATTCAACCACTAAAAAAAGGAGGAAGGGGAAAAGAATAGAGAAAAAGATCAAAAAGAACATCATAAGAGAATCTTAAATTGAATTGGGCTCTCTTAGAGGGGAGAAGGTCACAAATGCCCACTTTTGGGGCAGCTAGTGGAGTTATATTCGCATTGTTTAAAAATTTACCCATTGGGATATGAAGCTCTTATATTTTTTCTATGAAACTTCAGAAAATCGGATTTTAAGCTTTTCTATCTTTCGAATGCAACTTCAAAAAAAATTAGATTTTTAGTAGTTGTATCTCTTCAATGCAATTTCATAAAATTGGATCTTAAGTTATTCTATCTCTCTAATGCAACTTCAGAAATCGAGTCTTGAGTTCTTCTATCTTCCCACTACAACTTCAGAAAAGTCAGATCTTGAGTACTTCTATCTCTTTAATGCAAATTCAGAAATCGGATCTTAAGTTCTTCTATCTTTTAATGCAACTTCAGAAAAATAGGATCTTAAGTAGTTCTATCTTTTCAATGCAACTTTAAAATTTGGGATCTTAAGTTTTTCTATATTTCCAATGCAACTTCAGAAAATTCGGATCTTAAGTAGTTTTATCTCTACAATGCAACTTCAAAAATCAGATCTTATGTTTTGATACATGTTCTTCGAATTTCAATAATCCAATACACGATTCAACACCCAAATCTACTCAAATTGAGCTCAAATTTAAAATATAGCTTTTAGATATCATTAAAAATAAACCTAAATTATTAAATTGTCAAAACAATAACAAATCAATAAACTCATTTTGCAATTAAGAAGAAGAAGAAGAAGCCCTAAGTAAAACCTACAATGATTTTTGTAACTAAATGCATGAGATATAAATACAGAGAAGAAGAAAGCAGCAACGAAGCTTCTTATACATTGAACATGAATATAGAAGGGAAAAATATTTACCCGTAAAACTGTACAGTTGAATTTATAGTTGTAAGGTCCCGTAAACTTTCACCTAGAACCCGATGTTTCGTGATGCCGAGGTAGGCTTATGTGTTTGATGATTGTAGAAATTCAAGCTTGCCACGATACAAACTTTTGAGTTGAGCATTGCGTTGGGGAGTCGAAGAAAAATCATTGCAGAACATGGCGTTTCTGCTGTCCATTATGTAACCACAGAACTACTCCGCAGACCGCATATCCGTCGCGGAGTGAAGCAGAAAAATGGCCAATTTTGGAGGTCATTTTGCGATCAATTATGCGACCGCATAATCATTTCGGGGGCCGTACATCCCTCGCAGAACCAACATGATAAAACACCGGAAGGAGGTTCTACGGTCCATTGTGCGACCATAGAACTGATCTGCGAACCGCAGATCTGTCGCAGACCTGTCCAGGCATACCCAATTTTTGGGACTACTTCTGCGGTCCCCTTTGCGGACTGCATAATTGTTTTGCGGTATGGTTTGCGACTGCAGACCCAGCTTCGTAAACTTTAAGTTTTGAAAAATTTCACACGATCCCATTTTTATAATAAGACTTTGGGGATTGTTTTAGAAGGTTCAAACTGCTATTTTAGAGAGAGGAAGGTGCTCTAGAGTGAGAGGAGGAATTCCTAAGCTATTTGTTCATCAATCTTTGGTCAAATCTTGGAGAATTCACAAGGAAACCTTGCTAGTTGTGTGATTCTTGGGTGTGAGAGTGTTATTTATGCATGCATGTACTATCAAGGTTTTTTGGGAGGTTATTGAGCTCAAAAGGGTAAACATTGGGTTGTGGAATGAAGGAATCCACCATAGGAGAACTTTGGAATCATAATGCCCACCTAGTGTTTGATAAAATGCTCAAATGAGCTGAACCCCCGAGTATCTTCTTAATTGTGGTTCAAATTTGTCATGTCTCTACTCGATTAAAGTCTCTAAGATTTTCGGAATGTTGTAGTAATTTAAGGAAGGCTCAAGCGAGGTATGTTTTTCTAAACTCCTCTTGTAAAAATCGAATTCCATTATGTCCTCGTAAGTGGCGATTATGATTGGTCTGATTTCTTATTTCTCATGCTCCGAGCCCTTCTTAATAAATTTGATCATTCTAAATAAGTGTTGTATTGAAAGACGTATATACTCAAAATATGTTCCAAATGTTCCCATCATATCATGATTCCCTCTGAGGAGGTAATCTAGTATGACCAATGTATTAAAAGTGTTGTGATTCAAAAATTATGTTTTAATTGCATGTTAGTATGCCTAATTGTGGAAGAGAAACTCAGTGTGATTAAGACTCTTATTGCTCATATATACATTTAATGTCTTGATTTGAAACTCCCTTATCGTTAATAATCCATGATGATGCTTGAAAATTATAGGGGTGAGTATAAAATATAAAATACGACCAACGTGTTGAGAATGATATTACAATTGTGGCCACTAATGCCAATGAAATGGAAAGATATGTGGAAGATTATGAAATGAGTTGAAGATCCTTTAAATAATAAATATTTTGGGAGTATCATT